TAATTAGTTGTAAATTTTCTGGAATAGATTGGTGTTGATCATCCTCATTTGGCAGTAAAACTTCTTCCATTCTAGCTCTCTTGTTGTATGAAGTTAGTTCTGGAGTTATAGTATCAAACGTTCGTCTTCTTTTCGATCCACTTGCAATACTAACTTCAAAACTTTCTGGTGCATATTCTTGTACACATATATTCTGGTATATAATGCCAACAGTATCGTGTAATGTGTCTTTCTCACTGGTTAAGTGTCAACATATCTGTCAAAATTATCAAAAGCTACCCCAGTAAATAAATCAGGGGACAAAGAAATACCTTCAGGGCATATAGTTCCTCGATTAATCGACGAAAAAGTAACTTCTGTTTCTAGCTCCTCTATAACGTTATAACTACAGCAATGACCATACCTATTAATTATGTCGATGATTTTACGGCTACTTGTCAAACTTTTCAAAGTCATTCCTAGTGTTATATGTTTTCTAGTTTTAATTTTACCATTTGTAACAGCGTAAATCAAATCTTCAGACAGTGATTTAATTTTTCTCTGACAATTAATGTTAGTTCTACGTCGACGTTGGAAACCACCCAATAATGCCGTATAAAAATCAGTTATTTCTTGCGGTATTGAGCATTCTCCTCTCAATAAGTCAGTAGTCTTCAAAATTGTTGGCAATGCAGTCTTTCTTATGTTTAGGATTTATCGTCGTAAAATTAAAGCGGCATTCTGAAGAATATCTTTGTCTTTTAAGAGTGAAAATAGACCATCATCTATTGTGTGATTTATCGGCATAACTATTTTTTTATTGTGCATAGTAATTATTTTAATCTCATTTTCATACTTTCCAATTATTTTGTTTTGTAAGTGTTGTTCATTAAAAGTAATACTGTATTCGTCATCGTGTCCTGCAAATTTTGTCATCGCAGCCATATAATAATTATTTAAATAACTCCATAAATAGCAATGCTCTTTTGCTAGTACATTTTCCTCTATAAAGCTACATATTTCCTCGAAGGCTTTTTTATGACAATTTCTACTTATATGATAACTTGTTTGCAGTCTTTTGGTGGCAATTGCTTTTAATTTATTGAAGAAATCAACGCGACAGATTTTGTGGTAATGAATTTCATTTGGTGAAGTTCCTAGGTTTTTTAAAACTTCAGAATCTTTAAGAAACTCGGAATATTTATGTAGGTTTTCCTTGAGGATTTCTTTTTGTCCAGTTTGTAACGGCTGCAATCGTCCTTTGTGTTTTTTATATCTTTTTTGGCAAAAATAACATGGTGTTTCATTTTTCTTGAAACTTTGTGCTTCTTCTAATGTCTCATCCGCGGATACATATTGTTCTTTGTAGGTTGATACTTCACATGGATCAATAATATTTGCATCAGGCGTCACTATCTCGCATGGGATTGCATTTTGTTGAGATGTATCTTCAACAGGGCGCATAATATCTGTAATAAAAACTTAAAAATAAAATATCACGAATGAACACATGTTAAGAGTTACATCACTGCCTTTTTTACTATTTAATATATTTTAAATGTGTTTTAATACTTGGTTCAAATGAAGATACGTCGGATGATGTTGATGCTTCTTCTTCATCGTAATATTTTTTCTTTAGGGCAATATAATTCTTATAACATGATACATGATAACCCTCTGTAACATTCACACTGGTAGGTAAAACAACGTCTTCATATTTTAAGCCAAAATTTTTACGAATTTTTGATATTTTACATCTTTTTGTTAAAGTTTCATTAGTGAATATAATGACTTTCATGTCACGAGTGTTTTTTCTACAGATGACACAGACTAAATTGCTTGTTGCCATATTTTATTAATTAAGTACCTATTAAAAAAAATACACATTGGACGTAATTAGTAATAGAAATAATTGTAATTAATAAAAAACAAAAGTATATAAAAGTGTAGGCGAAAAGTTTTGAGTCTCTTATAACGGGCGAAATATCGCCCGTCACCAATATTATTCGGTAGAGGAGACCGTTGCTTTCGGAGACGTCCTCCGAAAAGTCACAATCGATAAACATCGACAAATTGAACGCGGACGGCGAAAACCGACCGCTGTGCGTGGAGACCGCCGATTGGTCGAGTAGCGTTTCCCCGAGGAAAATAAGAGCACCGGCGACAAAGCGGAGAGACACACTCTCGGAGTCATACTCGAAGTAAACTTATCGGGACCGTAACTTTGTACTCTGTAATATTCGGATCAGCGGATCGCCGCGAATAAAGACAATCCTGACCATCTGAATCGCGCGCTTTGTGTTAATATCCCCGCGTCTCTCCCGAGACAGAGGCCAGTCTCTGCTTCATAATTTAATCTCGCTCTACAAAAGACACTAATAATTAATATTGTAAATATAAGCGATATAAATCAATACGAAATAAAAAAGTCAACGATCCGAGCAGGAGATGTACATAGATAGTCTAATGGTTTATTGTGTGAATTTTTATGTTATTCATGTACCATTTCCAACACATTCCTATGCACTAAGCACTGTCGGTCTTAAACTACAGTTTCTTTGGTGGAACAATAAAATTTACATACTTTTAAGCATTTTGTCTTCCCCATCACTGTAAAGAATTCTTACTGCAAAGAATATTACCTCAGATAGGATTGAAATCTGGATCTCTCATGCTAGGCGGGTGTCTCACTAATTTGATACACACAAGCGGTATAACTTTCAAGAAACAGTGAAAAATAATATAAAAGATGTTAAATCTGCTATTTCAGAATAAGTTTTAGAATAACGAAACGTGCTTGTCCACTGTTTCAAAACTTCTAACTTCTAACTAGCTCTAATTTTCTAGCGGTCGGACTTTGTTTTGATAAAGGTTTATAAAAAACAGGAAAATATTCGGAAAGACGAATTTTAATAAACAGTATGGTAAATATAGGTTCGTGCAAACGTTTTTCTGGAAGTAAATATAAATGAATAAACATTTACACGTATATTTAAGAGATAAAATAAAATCAGAACCCTACTATATATATTGTATATGTATCTTACATATACGCTCTCTCTTACTGTCGCGCGCGCGTCTGCATAATCTTCTCTCCGTCGCACTCACGGAAAACATTATTTACTACTTTTCATACTGTTTTATTTGTTAAATCAGCCTAGCTTTCAACATACATTACTCTTATAGCATTAGAAACACATTGTAAAAATTGCAACATGTTTCTGATGCTATGAAATACCTTTATGAAATAAAAGTTAAGCACCACCACTAATAATACAACTTTACGATCGCCTGCCAATAGGTTCGAACCAACCAGGACGCCTGCCCTTTTTTTTCTTACTCAAAAAAGTATAAAATTTTTAAAAATTCAAATTTCAACTTGTATACTTCATGTTGGTTTTAACATTTTTTTTACACTTTTAAAAAATTATGGGTGCACTTCTAACCAACGCTGGCCAGGCAGGTTGGGAAATTCTTATTCAGGTAGGGAAAAAATAACTTTTTACAAAATTTCAGCTTGTATAAAACAACCTTAACAAAATGTTCACCAGCTCTCCGGCTATAGCGGGCCACGCGCGCTCGTCACCCGCCGCTCTCCGCTCGCCGCTCGTCTCCCACCACCCACCGCTCGCCGCTCGCGCTTGCCGTTGCCACGGAGGTAAAGGAGGGAACATTAACAATAAGATCAGCTTGTAGACGCGGGGGTGAAGCACTGGTGGGGAGGGGGATTTTGTCGTCAGCCATGGTTTTATGGGCCACTTGTAATGCCATCTATTGATACTTAGCTGTATTATCTGCATAATATTGATAATGTAGAGACATTTACAAATAATATGCACACATAATTTATTGTAATCTCTAAATAATATTAATTTATTGTATTTATGTAATTATAAACTGAAGAAGAAGGATGCTTCTCCCAAACCTGCCGCGTCGAAGCCACCGCCTCTCATCGCCGCAGTCATCGAGACTCCATCTCAGGAAGCAGACACCTCACACGGGTCCAACACCATCGCTTTCGTGGAAGCCCCGCGAAACCAACTGATTACCGATACTGCCATCCTGAAGGTAAAAGAGTTAAACAATTACTCTTGCGACCTTAAGGCTCTCCTCGATACAGGAAGCCCAGCGTCGTAATTTACATTAATTTTGCTGTACAATATAAATGTAAACGCGTTCAAAAGATTTTTTCCGCAAACTTGTCTTACGGCGTCAACTGTTCCGTCGCTTAAAGCCATTAATGGATTTCCTATAAAAATTTTGAATGTTGTCGACGCTACAATTAAATTAGAAGCGTTACCAGCTTTTACAGCATTGGTTCGTCTCCATGTCTTGGACGAATCTATAACGTCCTCAGACATTATCGTTGGTCGAGATTTCATAGAGTTAAATAATTTATCTATCACTCTTGAACCTTCTAGAATCGCCGTAAAACCTACGAATGCAAACCTAGATAATAAACTTGACTTACTCACGGTTGGACCGGCAATCCCTCACATCCAATATACCTCTAAATAATATTAATTTATTGAATATACAGGGTGATTCAGAACAACCACTTGTCCTTAAAATGTCGTATTCTAAACTTAATTCTGAAATGATTTTTCCTCTTGCAAAATTTTCTCCGAAGCTTAGTTTTTGAATTATAAAGAGGAAAAGATATCGAATGACGGGCCAGATAGAGGCAGGCAGGAGCGGCGCGCGGGCGCTTACGGCAAGAGCGCCCGCGACGACGCTGCCATCAGCTAATCGCGACGCGCTAGTACACACACACACACACACATTCTCTCTCTTTCTCACTCGCGCTCTTACCTTGCAGAGATGATGTAGAGATGATTCGATGACTTCGTGTTGCTTTAGTTTCTTGAAAAAGACGATGAGAAAGATGCATTTTCTGATGGACCGTAGCTTAGAGCAAGTTCATTGTAACTTTCACTAAATTTAACATACATTTTCACTAATACAGATCAACTCATACATTTTCACTAATAGAGATCCACACTGAATAATTAATCGGAAGTATTTTTTATGTTACTATTTTATTCACTTCACAAAAGAGACGCACACAACACACAACACATAACTTATTAAGGTTGCAGTCGACTTGACGCTACAAATGTTTCGAAGCGGTTTTCTTTTCCTTCCTTTTAATAAGAAAAAAGGAGAAGAACGCTTTTGAAGTATTTGTAGCGTAAAGTTGACCGCAGCCTAACACACAACTCGTATTTACTCGACGATAGCAAGTAGTCGACTAATTTCTTGTTATGCACTCCCGCACTCAATCCTCCGCACTCGCGCACTCCCGTGCTCCTGCTCGCACAAAAGAACCAGTCCTCTTGTAGTAGGAAGAAACATATTTTATTCGTAAAGAATACAGCGGAAGTCCAGGCACGTCCGCACGAAAGCCAGACTCGAATATGGTGTACACATATCAGCTGTTATTAAGAAAATCGATAAATCGATACCGGTCCTTAGCGACCGGTCGTCAAGCGCGACGTCACAGACCGGGCCTCGCGACTCGCGACTCGCGACACGGCGCGACGCGGCGCGATACGGCGCGACACATTATCAATATATGTATTTACTATTTATAAAACTTACCATTATTGTACGATTCATATATTTTATCTTCTCCCTTTTTTATTATTATATGTAAAACTCGAAATGTCTTTCCTTCCTGAAGATATAACTATTGTACTTATGTAATGTAAATGCCTATTGTAATATATTGTATTGTAAATACCTATTGTATATATATATATATATTACAATACATATAGAAATAAGAACAAAATATAAATAAAAAGATTCATCCATTTATATAATTACTATGACAATAACATAGTAACACTCTGAAAAATTTGGAATTAATATACGTAAAGAAATGATTGAATAAAAATGTAATCATTTATATTGTATATCATTAATTTTTTAAATTTAAATTTATATATATATGTATATAAATTTAAATTTAATAATATAAAAAAATTAATGATATATATATTAATTAATTGACTTTTTTATCATTTCTTTACGTCTATTTTATTAATTCAAAATTTTCGCAGTAGTATTATTACTACTGCCATAAATTATATAAATTGATGAACGTTTTCATTTATATTTTATTCTTATATCTTTTAAATAAATTACAAGATTTCTCAATTCCAGTGAGAAATGATTCGTCGATCGACGTCGAAACGCCGTCGAATCGACATCGACACCGTCGAATTGACGTCGATTCAACATCATTTCTTATTGGGATATTGGATTAGGAAGATCGATTCGAGTTTCTATTTTGACGTCGAAAATCAATCGAAATTGGAGTCAAAAATTCATCGAGTCATTCGAATAGAAATTTCGAAATTTTTCGATCTTCATTTTCGATGTCGAAACGTCTTTTCGACAAATCATTTCTGACTGGGGGATGACGAGCGCGTGCGGCCCGCTACGCCCACCGAGCCCGGCCTACAGTTGGAGCCTGTTTCCGCGCGTTCATTCGCTTAGACGCAATAATTAATAACTCAATAACTATTGTGGATTTTGCATCATGGTATATGATTTTTCTTTTCAGCTTACCCTAATCTATCTACATATTTCGGTTGAGAACAAACTTATCAGACACCCTGTATATCTACAGCGCAAGCTCGCTCTCTCTCCCTCCCTCCCTCCCTCTCTCTCCCCCTCTCCCTCTCCCTCCCCC